TCTGCGCCTGGAGTGGATATGCTTCTTCAAGAGTGGGCTGGATAGGAGTCTGATGGGCAGAAGAAGTAGGCAAGGGTACAGGTTGAACAGGTGCCATGTACCCGTGGTGTGATAGACTGCCACTATGATCAGTTCCTGAAAATGATGGTGAGGCCCAGTTGTCAGTGATACTGCTCGGTTGAGGTCTTGAACCATAAGAAGTAGCATCGGGATTGGTCTTGGTACCGGGAATGACGACGTGGCATGCTCATCGGTGCACTGGATGAGGTGATACCGGCGATGAGGGAATCACGCTTTGTCATGGTACACTGGAGCCAAGAGCTGAAAGGTGGCAAACTAAGAAAAGGAAACCCTAAAGCGAACATGGAACAGAAACAAGAAAAAGGAGAAGGCAGCAAGCAAAAGAGTGGATCATTTTAATCCAAGTTATGGAAGCATGTTGCGATTGGGAAGAGCCTCATGGCAGCTCATACGCATAATGTATGGCTGATAGTGAGACGTAAAATATTGGATCGTGTTCGGAAACAGGGTGCCAAATTCTTGACCCTCGGTCCAGTGAGGACGGTATTCATGAAGAAGTTCGAGCACGCGGTCCTCATCTCGGAGGGCAAAGGTGTCTCCAGTCTCATCTTGCCAACGAAGATCCATAGACGAAGGAGAAAGGTATCGATCCCACGTCCACCAGATGTGTTGACTGGTGATGTACAGCAGGTTAGACACTGTAAGAGTGTCAAGGTGATTCGTGTCAACCAGGACGTTGTAGGTGAACAGAGCACGTTCTTCAGTTCGGCTAAGAGAAGGCAGCACATCACATGTTGTTGAATCCATGACGTCATCATGGACTTTACTCATAAGCGGACGAACCGCGACTAAGTCAATGATGATTAAGACTTTCCGAAGACGAGGTGCGGCAGGTACCTCATGCCAGGCATCACGGTATTGATTTCGATGTTGTGGGTGTCGATGGTGCCACATGGGTTCGTCCCGGGAGCGGGAACGTTCTGGGACAGTTCGTACGTGACCGGATGAATGAGCCATATTTGCTGGGGAAACCAAGACAAGAAAAGATGAACAGAGAAGAGAACGCAAAAGGAAGACGAATGAACACCAAAAGGAAAACCGAAAGGAGGGGAGAAAAACCCGAGGGAATACATGGAATCAAGCAAGCGGTGGTACGCACTTTTTCTGCATGGATGGTAGATCAATGCTGATTAATCTTCAGCCTCAGGTTCATGAGGCGGGTGAACGCGACCATGTTGGTCCGTTTGTTTCAAGATTCCCCATCTCAGTTTGCAAACCTGAGGATCGCGATGAAGTCGAGCTCCGATCGTCTTCCACGAGGGACGGGACTTGGTGTCCTGTTTTAGGCTAATCAGCTCTTGATCATCTGTATTGGTCCATGGAGGGAATGGCGGATCACGAGGAGGGTCGACTGGGCTTGGCTGAATAGTTGATGGTGGTGGTGCCTTTGGATTCGGCGTCAGTGTAAGAGTGGAAGTGCCAGGTGGTGTTGCGGAAGTGGTGATGGATGATGGAGGGAAGCGATAGTTGATGTCTGTGTCGGAGTGATCATGTGTGGGAGCGGCTCCCGACACTGCATCATAGTCAGAATCATCGGAGTTGAGGTCTCCAGGAGGTACTTCGGAGACGACGGGAAGCGGGCCTGGATGGCCATGTCGTTCAGTAGCAGGAGTACGTGCTTCTGGGACTGAAGCGGATCTTTGTTTCTTTTTCGGTTGTGGGTCCTCAGTCGATGAGGCCCATTGCTTGGATCGAACAGTGACAGGGATAGTGGTCCTGGTCGTGGCCCGGGGAGGTTCGGCTAGGACTGAAGTTCTGGAAGTTGGGTCGATGGGTTGTTCCGTTGTGGAAGTTGGATTGCGGGGTTCATTGTGTGAACCTGAAGTATGATCAATCTCACGGTGGAGTGTTGGGTGAGGCGTGGTTGGCCGCAGGTTGGGTTCAGGATTCAGAATCATCTGTGATGGGATGCCTCCATGGGAAACCATAGTCGGTGGAATGGATGGAGGGGCTAGGGAGATCCAGTCTGCCTTGGAGGCTTGGTTGAGAAGCCAAGGATCCCAGGATGTCCCAGATGCTGAAGGAATGCCATCGGTTTGCTTCACTTTTTCATTCCCGCAAAACATGAACGCAAAAGAGGGCACAAGCCCAGTGAAGCCTGTGGAGGCCCTTGTTCAGACTTATATTCTTTCATTTTTTTCATTGTAGTTTCAGGTCTGGGATTGTTATGAACAGCACTTCGGCATGATGACTTGTTTCCCTTGGCTTCCCTCTTTCACATGCATGCTGTCACCCGCCCCATTTGCATTTTCATATGTTGAATTGGCACCTGTGGTCTTGGAGATGCATTTGACATATTGTCCACTTTCACTTCTCGCATGTTTAGTTGGCTTCAGCCGTTCACATGTAGTCCCACTTGCTTCAAGTGGCACGACCCAACAGAAGAGAGCTTTGAAGAGGAAAATTCACAGGAGTATGACCATTGAACCACACCAAACCCCGGCCAGAGTAGTTTCACCCAAACTATATACAACTTGGCTGGAGTAAAACGGTCATACCCAAGCCTCCCTGGGAAAAACACATGAACCAGTGAATTAAACAAATATGTAAATATATATATATATGAATTAAAATAAACACCTGAAGATAGAAAATTTCGCTTGACTCACCTGTTTCTTCACTTGACATGGAAAATTTGGGCCAATATAGATTGAACCAGCATGGGTTGTACAATATTCTATACTTTACAGAACTACCTGAGGCAACTATTTAAACCTCACAGGTGGAAATGCGATCCTTTGGAAGCAAACAAAGAAACGCAACAGGGAATAACATGTGTGAGATTTCTGGCAAATTAGTCTACTTCTGGGAGAAAGTTTCAGTAAAAAAGAAAACATCGTGTGGACAAACCAAGGAAAAAGTCATTTTTTTTAAGAAAATTCAAGCGAAAACCATTTTTTTGATAAAATCCAAGGTGAAATTTCTCGGTTGTTTGAGAAAAAACAGCTGGAAAACATGATTTCTTTGCTTAAAAAATGCATCGAAAAAAGAGTCATGAGAAAGTTTGACGAAAGTTTGGTGAAAGTTTCACTGAAACTTTCGTGCAATCCATGTTGGTTCCGCAGCCAAAATGTAACAAACAGAAAGGTTCGCGACCCAAAAAACCGCATACCTGTATGTTACAGGACAGCAACGCTGCAATGTTCACAGAATTTTGTCTGTTGGTTACAGGCTTCTTTTGCCCAATAAATAATGTTGTAACTTCCAGTCTCACACACACTGGTACTAAGTAGCATTTGAATTCAATATTTGCATTTTTTTTCTTTACATGTCGTTCATGCCGTTGTACATTTTTGGCGCAGCGCCTCAGCACAGCTATTGACCACCTTCACTTGCACAACTTCGCTTGCCAATCTATACTTCCACGCCTCCACTGCCAAACATTGAGCTGAGTAGATTCACTTGAACACCTTCACTTGTAATTACATCTCTACTTGCCAGCAAGTACTTGCACACCTCCACTGCCAAGACCGGAACAGAAGATATTCACTTGATAACTTTTACCCCTCAAATATGAAACCTTGAACTGAAGACATCCGCTTGACAACCTTCACTTGTACAACTTCACTTGCGAAACAACACGTGCATAGCTCCAGTGCCAACCTTGAATTGCACACAGCCACTTGATCACATGCACTTGCGCAGCTTCACTTGCCAACAAACTCAAGGACACCTCCAATGGGAAACCTGGAGCTGAAAACCTTCACTTGACAAGATTCACTTGACAATTTTCGCCCTTGAACCTGCACCTAGCTTTTCTTCATGTCAGAAAACCCACAATTTTGGAATGCGGCTTCCAGCAGCTTACTCCCCCTGGCAACCACATATGGAGGATGTACACCTGCAAACCTTTCCTTGACACTCCTGACTTTGATTCATTTATGCAGACTGCACACACTCACAAAAAGACCCCCTTGCCACCACACGTTTGGGCGTTCGGCGCGCATGATCTCCACATGTGCCCGGCAACAAACAGAATCCCGCCACACACACACACACACCCGCACACACACACACACGCACACACACACGCACACACACGCACCCACGCACACACGCACATACACACACATATACACACAGGCGCGCGCGTCACACGATGTCCGCAGAGGGATGCGCGCCAAACAAAATCTGCATTTCACCGAAGGTTTGGACGTTCAACGCGCGCAAGCTCCGCACAATGAGTGCGCAACAAAACCCCATGATGATGATGGTGATGATGATGATGATGATAAGATGATTATGATTTCGGTGCCGTTGGAAAGAAGGAACACCGTTCAGAGGAGCTTTCTAGAAGATTGGCCTTGACACAGAAGAAAAACATGCAAACTTGAGTTTCCGCCACATGGCAGATTTTTTGCTCACGACAAAACTGACCAAGCCAGAGACATAAAGCCTTGCCAGACACGCACCTGTTGACCATTGACACCTGGTCGCGCCGTGCTGCTGCTGCCCTTCACCTTGCTGCATTTTGCCGTAGCTAACCACACAAATATCATACAAATATGGTGCAAGAATTCGCGCCTCCCGCAGCAACCGCCCCAACTCTTACTGCTGCACCGTTCTCGGAGTCTTCGCAGATGCTTGCATGTGCCCATGCTCTGGGAACACGCTTCGACCCGGCGCCGCACCGGGTCGCACCCTGCTTCCTTGTTGTTGTTGTTGTTGTTGTTGTCGTTGTCGTTGTTTTTGTTGTTGTTGTTGTTGCTGTTGCTGTTGTTGTTGCTATTCCTGTTGCTGTTGCTGTTACTGTTGCTGTTGTTGTTCTTCTTATTGTTCTTCTTGTTCTTCTTGTTCTTCTTGTTCTTCTTGTTCTTCTTGTTCTTCTTCTTGTCTTTGTTGTCGTTGTTGCTGTTGCTGTTGTTGTTGCTGTTGCTGTTGCTGTTCGTCCTGACAGATAGAACAACTTGTTGCCCCAGGAGCTGCTGGAAAGAGCTGGACCCCGCACGGAAAAGACAGCACCAGATGGTTACCAACAGCGTGGCCCATATGTGGTGGCACCTGAAGAAATATTCGACGGCTCCATGAAGGATGGGGATGTGCTGAGCGTGGATTTATCAAAATCCATGGGTTGGAGGTCGGGCCATATCGTTCTGTAGAGGCCCAAAATTGCAGGTCCAGGACCTCAAATGCAAGAGCCTTTTAGTAGATGAATCATGTTGGTGTTTTTGGTCAAACAAGTGCCAAAAGCCGATTGCCAGCTAGCCAGCCTTTTTGTGGAGTCTGATGTTGGGCGTGCTGTTAAGCCACGTCATTTGTGGTTGAATTTGGAGCTTTGGAAGGGCAATGTTTGACTTCAGGAATCCTTTCTGTATACAAAATTTGAGCAATGCCGGATATCTAGCTATCCACCTACCTCTTCCCCATCCAATCATCATCTGCTCCCAGCATCCCAAGTCATCACCTTCGTCTCATAACAATCGGAAGGCTTAACATGATGTGGGGTTATCTGATCCTTTAATTTGTAGATATGGTGGGTTATGTTAGGTCATCTTGTAGAAAGAAGATGGCGTTGTTTTGGCAATCATTGCTGAAAATAGTTCGCTTTGGTTTGCCGCTCCGACGGGACAGGACATGGACCTGCCGGTGTGGCAAGGGGTGGTGACCTGCTGGCAACGGCGCATCCAAGCAGCCGAACGCCACTCGGCCAATTTTCGCTTCAAACGCAAACTGATGACAGAACCCGACAGAACTAGCAAATCAAGATGGTGCACGTGAGCGCAGCGCAGCCTCCCAAAACGGGATCGTCAATGCTGATCGCCGCGTCTCCGCCACATGCCACAAGAGTTCATTCTGCCTTGTTTTGTTGGAAGACTTGTTGTTGGTTGTATACAGATTAAATCCAGGATTTTCAATCAGCACCATATTTGAACTTAGACGTTGTTTCTCACAAGCACTATATTTCTCACAAGCAGTGTCAGGCAATGTTGAACCCTACATGCTTTATGCATTTTACCACAAGCACGCTTGACAATGAAAAACAACATCAGACCGTCGCTGAATGATTTTAAAGTGCCCTTGATTTTGCCGAGGAGAGAAGGGTTTGCTTGTTCCAGCTGCTCCAGCGGCGCCACTGCCACAGCAGAGGCCTGGGTTGGCAACACCATGCAGAACACGCAATCCTTGCCCGCTGTGTTTTTTGCTTACTCTTTCATACAAAGATCAAGTCCTTGCTGACCTGGCCAGTGTACCCTTTTTAGTTTCTTAGGATGAATGTGGTAACCCAAGATCCACCCATACTAATTTTACCAGGTAGTGCCCGGCAGTGCCTACGGCCTGGAAACATGAAATGAAAGCGTCAAAAGCACAGTAACATGACCAACATGAAAGGAAAGTGGGAAAGCATGAAATAAACTGAAATGATGTTAACGTAGATCCAACATGCGCGAAAGTTCGACCAGGTTCAATAAAATGACAGGACATACAAGGAAAATGGCAAAAGGATTTCGAAGAAAAGGGAAGGCAACTGAAGTGACGAGAATAAAATGAAAGGGACATGAAAGGAGCATGAGAAGGAAAATGAAACGAACTGAGACGGAAATCGGAGGAACATCAGAAGGACATGAAAAAACAAACGGAAAAGAGCGAAATTAAGTAAGATGATGCAAAACAAAGACATGATTGACGGAAATGCAAGGGACATGGAAGGAATTGAAAGGAAACCGACAGGAGAATAAAAACACATGAAAAGAATGTGAAACGAAATGAAAGAGACATGGCACGAACACGAAAGGATGTGCGCTTGTGTGTGTGTGTGTATTTTTGTTTTTTCAATATTAGTACATATATCACCAAACGTAATTCAGTACCTTGGATGACTGGGTCCTCCATAAGGTAGGTTTGGGTTATTGAGCCCAGCTAAATACTGAAATAGATTCAGGTTGCTCGCAGCTGATGCGTGTTGAACGCCATGAGTCCATGAGCGCAACGAACTTTTCAAAAGTGGATTGACTATTTATTACCCAGGAAATTCTTCTTAGCATATTTTCTTCAGTTGTTGAAAGACGACAGGTGAAAACGAGTGCTGGATAAAAACAAATAAACACAAACTAGAGCTATATAGTTCAATAATAGTTTCAGTTGCTCTATTACTTAACATTTTTGATATAATTGTATTCACATACTTTCCTCCTGGCAAGGGCAAAGCACAGAACAGATGTCACAATTTATGTGTCAACTGTCAGAAGTTCGCACAAGTGCCATGTGTCAGAAACCCGGTCCTTGCTTCAAAACATTGCCATGCAACCTCAGGTCAAGCAGGTGGAGCTGTCATTTTGAAATTGCATTTTTTGGACATGTGCCAAAAATTATGTTCAATCCAACTGTACCTGCCAAGGACACTTGTTTCTTCTCAAAAACCCCTACCTGTGAGATGTAAGATCAAACACGTGATGCTTGTCATGTGTTGAAATTTTAATTTGCAGCAGCTGCCACTGGGGACGGGACGAAAGTCCTCCATGCACAACGCAACGCGACGCACTGCATGCAGGCAGCTGGCACAAATGTGAAACAAAAGCGATTCACACATGACGCAGCCGTAGAAACTCCCTTGCAAAAAAATTGGGAGACACTTGACCCAAATTGTGGAGTGTAGGTACCTAACTCCTCTAGCAGGTCCTTCCTCCCTGCGAAAGCTTTGCCATCTGCCTTTCGTATGACCAGCTGCTCACCAGACAAGTGTTCCCTGGGAAGGCTGCCCCCCTGCAAGATCGAAATTCATTTGAAATAAAGCGAGTACAGGTTTTTCATGTATTGAAATGGCTCACACACACACACACGTGCGCGCTCGCGCTCTATTGACTCCAGCTGCGAAAAGCTGTTGCTACATCTGACATGAAGACGGGCCACTGACCATGGACATTCGCCCATGCATTGGAAGTTTGTAACCTAATCCTCTGGGTATGAAAATATTGTACACGAGCACAAAATCGCCGCCAAACAAGCGTCACAAGAGCGGCTGCACAGGCGCAAGCATGTCCTTTCAGGGCGAATCCCGAACTGAGTTGCGCAGTCCCAAAATCACTTTGAATCAGTTGCCTCACCACTCCCGGATCTTGTACAACAATCCTTTGCAAAGGAAACCGCGCTTGGATCAAGCCTCCCGGCTGATGGTGCGACATGGTGGGTCAAGCCACCCAGGTTCTCGACAGGGCCAGGCCGATGATTATGAGAACCTCCCAGTACGTGTTTCCTAGTTTTCTTCCGCTCTTACCTGAGGACTGTTGACTTCACATTCATTTTCAAAATAGCATACTTTTGTGGCAAAGCAGAGAACAGAGCCAATTGGGAAGACCAAAAGCTAACATGCCAATCTCATGATGCCATGTTCGGCGGGGGGCATTTCCGCAAAAACGTTTTAAGTCACGCGTTTGTGAGAAGAAAGAGTTCCCTCAACAAAAGCCCCCTTCAAGATTCAATATTGATGATTTTGCGATGGATGGCCATGTCAATGTCCATGACATTTTTCCCAAACGTCCTGGTCCTGACCCCCGCGGGTTTTGAACCATAAGGCTGCAGCCCCAGCGCTGCGCCCGGTGGAGCTGATTCAGGGCTTCAGAGCATGGAGCCCTTCGGAGTGGTCGCGCGACTTGGCGTGGGTGGCAATGAGTATGTACTGGGAAACCGCCCCAATAATCACAATTTGCGCGACAAAAAATTGTTTTTAACCGCTATTGCTTCTGCAGCTGGCTTTACATCCGGGGAATTCCAAAAGCAGTTTCGAACGTTGATTGTGAGCTTTATTGAAGTTAAACGATTGCAGGTGAAGGGACCGAAGAGACCGAATTGTATCCGATTGAAACTTCTTTGCAGGGAGTGAAAATGTTGCTGCTGCAGAAAGCAACAAACGAATCCATGACAGGAAACATTGAGCGATTTTGTGCAATGACGCATCTGCTGGATTGCCGTGACTGCTTGACTGACTGTGCTAAACTATGAGAACCAAGCTGCGCAAGGAACAGCTAATGTCTGAATTGGTATGCGATGCTTTGATTACAACTGACTGGCTGACTGAATGAACGCTGGAATGGGTGGAAAACGGTTGGTTAAATCCTTGATTGAAAATGATGAGACACAGCTGCGACGGGGAGTCATATCAGCAATCTATGTAATACAGCCCGAGAGCTGGTTAAGAATCCGAAAGCTTGAGGCCCAGGGCCCTTCAAATTCTTCTTTTACACTGCAAGCAAATTTACACGACAATAGGCCAAGGGTCCTTAAAATTCTTAGAGCATTCTTAGTTATGTATAGCATTCAACTGCACAATTTGGGGCGGGCTTTAAATGAGGTAGCGAGGTGGAGTTAGCAGATTTGACAAGAGGCATGCTAAAAAACAGTTTTTTATAGCCTGAAAAATTGTTTGTTGCAAAGCCGGGCTTGTCTGAGTTTCACAAGAGCAGTGCGGAAAAAAAAAATTAGAGCCTGAAAAATGTTTTTTTTGCAAAGCCGGGCTTGTCTGAGTTTCATAAGCGCAGCGTGGGAAAAAAAAATTGGAGCCTGAAAATTTGTGTGGTCATACCACAAACAAAATGAACCGCAAAGGGGAATTGCAAACCTCATGTATAAGCAGTCGCTGAAGAATTTGGCAATCCTATTCCAGGGACCCTCAGATTCTTAAAGTACTATGTGTTTGGTATTGCTGAAAATATGCAGCCCGCCTTGGGTTCGAGCCTATCAAATCCTTATACAGTGAATTCTTGTACAATACTCAAGCTGTAATGCGCAATTAAAATTGATACCGCGGAGACGGAGGCAGTTCCAGCTTTCAGGCAGGCGTTACAATATTCTTAGAGACCTAGGTGCGCTCTTCCCTTTTCATCGCTTGCCTTGCTTGCCTTTCTGTCTAAGCAGGCAGTCGCGGGTTGATGCTACATGATGGCCTGCCAGTCGTTTTGTCAGCTTTCGCAAAATTTCAGCAGTTCACAGCCTGGCCAGACATTCAAAAAACAAAGGAGGTTCCGGCAGTCCTGGTTATTCACCCTTCACTCCAGCAACCGGAAATTTGAAGAGCAATGCGATGGGCGATTGAGGTGGTGAGTAAGCGTGCAGGCCATGTAATGATAGTCCATCGCCCTGCTCCAAATATTCTCTTCACTTTTCAAATGCGTTCCAGCTAAGTAGACCCCGTGCTTTTGAACCGTTTGATTTCCGAGGAGAAGCTGCACGACTCCCATGGATAGATCCGGATGATATTTTGGACTATTACTTCGCGAGGTGAGACGCCACAGGCCCACAATAAGTTGGGAATCCACGGTGGGAAGACCCTGGCTCGCCCCGCTCCTACCGCAGAACCTGGCCGGCCGGGCAGCTTGAGGCTTGAAGGAGAACGGGTTCCAAACCGCATCCAGATGGAGACTGGCCATGACCTACGGCCACATGCCAATCAGCTGTTGGACTCACAGTGGCGCCGTCCTGCTGCTGAGCTGCTGCTTTTCTGGACAGATTGCAGCTTCAATGTTGGAGATGAAGCCTGCGGCGATAAAGTCGGTACCCATGGACCGACGCGCTGTCTTTTCGGAAACAAAAGGGATGCTGTGGGCCCTTGAATGGCTGCTGGTTGCTTGCATCCCTTTCCATGTTTCTCTTAATCTGTCACATCGTCCCTATAGCAGACTCTGTGTGCCACACTGGACCTACCTTGATTGTAGCAAGCTTGGAAGCTATGAGCTTCACGTTGGGGACGTAGCAAGTTGTTGGCAAGATTTGTGTAGGCGTCTGCCAGAATGTTATGCTAGGATATACATGCCCCAAGTTGTTTCCGAATATTTACCGAAAACAAGTCAGGGTATAGTCGCAATAGGTGACAGGCAATCTGATTTTACACACTGTTAGCACGTATGTGGCAAAACCATATTAGAATATATGTTGGAAATGCAATCAGAAAATAAATCAAGATAAATACAAAATATGAAACGATAATATGCGGCCGAAAATATGTTAGGATATATGTCCGAGTTGTTTCTAGGTAGATAAAAAGATTTATTTTGTAAAATATCATCGAGTTACCTAATATGGAGGAGATATTTTGCTAGATATTATAATTAAATATATTATGTTAATAAATATGATAATATTTGGTTATTAATATATTGATTATTTCAAACCTTAGTCTCTTAAATTTGGATTCCTGTTGATTTCATATGTCCAGGAAAAGAACTATGGAAAGAACTATGTAGCAATCCATGGAAATAAGGGGTGTTTCCACTAAAAATGTCACCCAATGAAGAAACCCACCACTTTGAAAGAAAAACGCATTGCTCCAAGTTCTTGGACAAAAAACCTTTCAACATCAAGGTAGATGTTACGTACAAATTTCGTATTTGAAAATATTGGTCCGTAAGTTGGAAAGGAAAACAGTATACAACAATATACAACATCTGTGTAATTCGGGGCCCCATAATTCTTCAAAAAGGAGAACACCAAAGAATGCATGTGCGCAAGCTCCAACTAGAAAAAAATAACTCATAAAAACAATATTACGATGTGACCCTGTATACTGTAAAATTGGTTAACTAGTGCATTGATGAGTGTATGTATGGCTGTGTGCTCATGTGCATGGATGCACTGCAAATGCAAATCCACAGTTTTTAAGTATTGTTTTCGGTGCTGCGAAGACCACGGTAAAACTTAGGTAAAACATGGTGAAACAAATTTATAAACTGCAAACGGAATCCTACGTATTTGTAGCAGATCAAAGATGTGTTACTGTATTTCTGTCGCTACGTTGTTGTGCATTGGTCCTCAGCAGTGTTGCAGTAACAGATTACAATCATTATAAATATGTCATTTTATCCAAATACAACGCTTAAACTTTATTGTTGCGTTTTATACAAACAAACCCCGTCGATATACTTCCAAACTTTCAAACATACACGAACAAACAAGAACATATAATTCATCTAAAAACTCAAACAGTCTTATATAAATCATAAATACAGAGCAAGTAAAGTAAAGCAAGCATCAAAAATATACTTATAAAGTTAAACAGTTGAAGTCAAATCGAGAAGTAAAGTCAAAGTTATGTTACAAGTTAAAGGTTCTAAGTTTTAGTTATAAGTTGTAAGTTCAAAGTTAAAAGGTTACAAAGTTATAAGTTACACAGTTTTTATTGTCAAGTCATAACTAGAAGCTCTAAGTTGTAAATTAACAGTTATAACAATGTGTTTCAATTTAAAAACAGTTTTTAAACCTTATAAATTGATTTATTGAAGTTTGATAGTCAAGAGTGATGGATTATGAGTTGTATTTTACAAAGTAGCTATAAGCTACAAGTGTGTATATTTGGTTTTATCAAGTTATATACAAGTATAAAAGTAAGTTAACATATAAGCCATTATTTGGGGTTTGCAGAACGGTTCGGAACGGTTCCGGAGATTTCCCCAGAACGGTTCGGAACGGTTCCGGATACTTCCAAAACCTCAGAACTATTTAGAACTATTTAGAACGGTTCCGGAACGGTTCCAGATTCAAAGCCTATAGACCCCAGAACGGTTCGGAACGG